ATTCGGCCATGTCATTCGTTACGCGGGATGGGTAGTCCTTCTCCAGAGATCGTTCTTCATTATGTATCACATTCGAGTTTGTAGCTTATTGGCGCGGTGTGGGCGTCATATAAGATTTTGGCAGTGTTTGAGGTGGCTCATTGCCGGAATAGTTTGTACTAGGTAAGACGAGATTATTGGACATAAAATTAGTGCAATCAGATTTATATAAGGTGCATTAAAGAGGAAATATCATTATTCAGTTCAGAATGAGGTAATGGTTCTTGTCAGGGGGATAGACTCCATGAATTATTGATTCGGCAGGTGGTTATGAGTTTCTACACGTCTTTTTTGTCTTGGCAGTATTGCGAGATTTGGAACAGGATTTATATGCGTTATGAGATGTATTACAAGCATTGAATTCGTGAAATTACAGTTATTGTGGTCGGAGGATGTTATTATGGGCAACCGACTTATGTGGTGCATGGTGTGATTTCAGCATAGGTGTATGATCATGTTTTGGTACAGTGTGCAGTGACTGGTACGGTGTTCGTATGTTAGAATCAGGTCTTGTAGAGAAATTTGGAAGTTTGAACTTGGTTCTAAAGCTTGTTAGCTAAGGTTATAGGGAGGATTTTCAGTCTGGCTCGAGATAATGTGTTCAACTGGAATGTGGTGGCATGGGTAGGTGCACGAGGTGTTAAACAGTGATTTTTGACAACTCCGGAGTAGTCCCTAGCACGTTCGAGAACGAACGTATGTTTAAGTGGGAGAGAATGTAACGACCCAATCGGTCGTTTTGAGCTCTAGCACGTAGTTCGGCGGTTTGAGGCCTTGAGTAGCTTCACTTCGGGTATTATGACTTATACGTGTGGTCGGAATTGAATTTTGGGAAGTTCGGAGTTGATTTGGAAAGAAAATTCTAATTTCGGAAGCTTTAAGTTGGAAGAATTGACAAAGGTTGACTTTTGAGTAAACGACTTCGGAATCAAAATTGAAGGTTCCAACAGGTTTGTATGATGATTTTGGTCTTAGGAGCGTGTCCGAATGTCGATTTGGAGGCTCGTAGGTCATTTCGGTGTCAATTAGTGAAAGTTGGAAATTAGATGATTTTGGAAAGTGTGAACAAGAGTGGACTTTTTGATTCCGATTCTGGAAGTGGGAGTAGGTCCGTAATGTCAATTATGAGTTGTGTGCAAAATTTGAGGTCAATCGGACTTGATTTGATAGGTTTCAACGTCGAATGTAGAAGTTTGAAGTTCTAAAGTTCATTAAGCTTGAATTGGGGTGCGATTCATGGTTTTAGCATTGTTTGATGTGATTTGAAGACTCGACTAAGTTCGTATTGTATTTTGGGACGTGTTGGTATATTTGGTTAAGGTCCCGAGGGCCGAGGGTGAATTTCGGATGGTTAACGGATTGATTTTTTTGGACTTAAGAAATGCTGAAGTTAGGTAGCAGCTGGTGTGATCGCTTCTGAGATGTCTTGGTCGCAGAAGCGAGGTCGAGCTCGCAGAAGCGAAATGGGAAGGGACAAGGCAGTAGTCATAGGTGCGAAGATATTCTCGCACCTGCGGAATCGCAGAAGCGAGAAATGAAGACGCAGAAGCGGCTGGTCCGTAGATGCGCGATTAGCCATCGCAGAAGCACCTGCGCAGAAGCGAAAATGCTTCCGCAGATGCGAGGTCTCAGCTAGGCAATGTACTTCACATATTCACATTTTGGCTCGCAAAAGCGAGGGCGTAGATGCGCAAATAAGCCCGCAGAAGCGGAAACTGTGCAGAACAGAAGGTGATCGAACTTGGTCATTTTCATTTGGGATTTTTGGAGCTCGGTTCTTAGGCGATTTTGAGGAGTTTTCATCATGTAACACAAGGTAAGTAATTTTCCACTTGTTGTGAGCTTAATGTAAGGTTTATATGTGGATTTATGGAAGAAAAATTTAGGAAGTGGAATTTTGGTAGAAAACCTAGAATTTATATTTTTGGATTTTGACTACGATTTTGAAAATGGAATTAAGAATAAATTACATATTTGAGTTAGTAATGTTATGAGTAAGGTTTATCTTCAACAAAATTCAGAATCTGGGCACGTGGGCCCGAGGGTTGACTTTATCGACTTTTCGAGCGGAGTTGAGAATTGTTCAAATTGATTAATTATGGGTATTATAGTATATTTTGATTGGTTTGCACCTTGTTTGACTAGCTTTGGATCGATGTGCATCGGTTTGAGGTGGTAGAGAGGCTTTGGAGCCGGTTATGGAACTTCGGAGCGAGGTAAGTCTCATGTGTAACCTTGTGAGGGAAAACTACCCCTAGGTAATATGTATTGTTATGTGCAACTAGTTGTGGATGCTACGTACGCACGAGGTGACTAGAGTCCGTATGTATCTAAAGCATATTTATGTCCGGGTAGACTTAGGATCTTATCATGAAATGTTTGAATTTCTTGAACTCACTCTGTTGGCTTAATTAATTGAAGTTATAACTGAAATCGATTTAGAAATAAATATACGCACATTAGGCCAAGCCTTAACACTTTGAGTTTGGGCGAGTTATTAGAGAAATGGTAAAGATTATATTCATTTTAAGCCCATGTGTTGCATTGTAAACACGTGTCTCGTAATTCGGTAACTTCCTTCATTTTCTCGTGGAGCGGGCCGGACGCCTCGACAGTATATAGATGCATCTATGATTCGTGTCGCACGACCCTCGGCAGTGTACACATTATTCCGGATCGAGCCGAACGACCTCGGCAGAATCGTGCGTTATATCGCTAGTAGTTCGAATATTCACGAGCTAAACTTTTCACTAATGCCCGGCATTTTATATGGTATTCCTTACTTATTTGATAATGACACTTGACATTTTTCCGAGCTGTTAAGGTAGAATACAAGATTTAGAAATTTATGCTTTGAAAGAAGAAATTGGAAGCTTATGTAACTTAGAGATTTACCCCATCATTGTCGTATGCCTCATATTTGCTTATGTTTTATTATATTGCTTTATTGGACCTTTAGTAAGTGTCAATGTCGACCCCTCGTCATTACTTCTCCAGGGTTAGGCTAGATACCTACTGAGTACGCGTTGATTTACGCACTCATGCACTTCTACACTAATTGTGCAAGATATGACAGGTTCATTGATGATCACCTTGGCGCGTAGGCGCACCTGTTAAGGAGACTTCACGTGAGATTCATTTCAGGCTACGCATCGCAGCCCACCGAGTCTCCATTGTACTATTTATTTTATTCTGTCTTATTACATTCGGGACAGGTGTTGTATTATTATTGTACTCCTTAGAAAATTCACATGCCCTTGTGACACCGGATTTTGGTGGTTCCCACGAGTTGTTCGTTGTTGTAGTTGTGTAAATTCTAATTCATACAATATAATTAAGGAAAATTATGATTTCAAAATACAAGAATGGGTAATTAAGTTGATCAATCACTACAGTTGGCTTGTCTGACGGCGATGTTAGACGTCATCACGACCTTTAGTGGATTTTGGGTCCGCATAAAAATTTATCGTATTGTCGCTTTATATACTTAATTAATCATCGATATTTATAAAGCAGAAGGGAAACATGCAGATCAATAGGACAACGACATTATCTGTTCTCTTCATTTTGAAATGGTCCAATGAATATGTTAGCTTGATCAGATGAAGTTAATTTACAGATAAAGAAAGCTCAAGGTTAAGAGAACTCGTACGTACTACTACATATAGTACTACAGTTCTTTTTCTTTTAATAAGTTTATATCCACATAGTACAGTTGTTTGTAGCCATCGCATAGGCTCAACAACATGTGAATTCTTGTCTAGTAGACCACCAACATTTTCCAGTGGCTAATCAAGTTTGCTCTATCCCTGTTCTAATTGACGGGTCAATTGGTCTAGCCACAAATAAAAACTAGTGTTGTCATCTTGTGTCTCCATCTGCACTGTGCTGGAGTTCAACTTAATTATTACACGTACAGATGTTTGGCCAAGGGAAGAAACTAGTTCTTTGTTTATTCTTGTTCAAACACATTTTATTTTGTTTTGTTTTTAAACGAAATAGAACAAGTAACACATAAAATAAAATCTCTTACAATAATTCCAATAGCAATCCTCCCGAAACCAAAGCCCAAAATGAAAATTTTGCATTATCGTAATTTTACATGTATAATATGTTACTACTATTTATTTAAGGATGTTGATCAGTGCTATTAAATAAAGTTATTTGTAACTATTATTTACGTAACTTGATTATATAAATATTTGTTACACCCCAAGTGAAGAAAGTTAAAACTCAAATGAATCTTCAATTTGACATTATGATTGTTTTGTAGTACAATATCATTTCTTTTTCATTTTTGGGAAATAATAATGGGGGTTCATTTATAGGTATCTATAATTCCTCTGCAATGGAATTTAGCTCTAAATCCAGTTCGAGTATGCTTATATATTATTTGTTCCTCATTATATATCAATAAAGGAATGTTTGTCGGAACTTTAATCTGTGATTCCTCTTCTATTTAATGTTCTTCACATGGCATCCCTCATACTTTATCTTTGCAATTTCCTCCTGACCTTGGATTTTTGTGACCAACTGGCAACTGTTCTATTCAGCTCAATGGAGACAAAATCAGCAATTATGTGATTCCGTTATGACTTAAGCCCACAGATATATGAAGGTGAGTAATTCAAAAAGTTAGAGGTTTATAGAGACAAATACACATAAATCTTGTAAGCATTCACTTTTTACGATGATTAATATTTTCACGAGTGGGTTCTTTATACAAATATTTGCTCGCAAGAAACTCTCTTACTTTCGAGGATTTACATTTTGGATGCTATCATTCAATTCCAGCCACCAAACTAATATTCCATTATAACATTAGAACAAAACCATCTATCGGAATATATATAGTAATATAAGTGCAAAACATCTAATACCATCTATCAGAATATACTAATATAACACAATGCATACAGTTACTACTAAATAGCCCTGACTACATTATTGGCACAATAATTAAAACCGCATTGGTTATTATGCAGCATTATTCCCCCATCCATTATATTGTTATTTACATCCACTACTAATAATAGTACTAATCATTACACTTTTCAATAATGGCTAGTCAAAACTACACGAATGGAGGAAGAAAAATTAAGCACTTGTATTTTGTACGTAGTCGTTGATGATCAGATTAGTGAGTTCTAAATATTGCCAAATGATCGGAATCTTGGAATTGTTAGGTAACGTTATTGATTAGAACTGGTATAATCTATGAATTACTTCTTGAGGGCGGCCTTTTCCCGGATTATCTAATGATTAGATTGTCTAACACTGTTCCAACTTCCAACTTCCCGACATCCCATGTGACAGCTTTTGGAACAAAACAATGAAGAGTCTGAAGTGGCAATCTCGGATTAATTGTCCAAAAACTAACAAGTAGCAAGACAAGACCCCTATATTCGTATTTGGAAACAAAGCCTCAATTTTTCCTTTTTGTCTCAAGTGATTGACTTGAGATAGTAACTCATCTTTAGTCATTCAATATTAGCATTCCTAATTAAATGAGAGTCAGTTCACACTTCACACCTACTGTTATCCTGAAAAGCTGCGGTTAAGCAAGTTAAAACAATTAACCATGTCCGAGGCCATATGAGCAACTTCATGGTAAGCAAAGAAGGCAGGAATTTAAGACGATATCATCTCAATACCAGTATTCTCCTCTGAATCAGGTACATCTTGAGGAAGGAGGCGAAGTAGTGGTAAAGGCAACAAAGAGCTGAGGTTGCAGACAATTATTAGGAGAGCCAAGTTGTCAAATCTGTCCTTGGTGACTCCAAACATCTGAGTTAGACCTGCACCAAGTAGGCCCCCAAGGGTACTTCCCCCATTGGCTATGGACATAAGGGTTGCAAAGAAAGTTGCTTCCATTCCCAGTGGACATATTCTTGCAGCTAATACAAGAACAGGCATGAAAAAAGCCTGAAAAATGTATTAAGTTAGACAGTCGTGAAATAGTTGCCACTTGCCGTAATACCATAATTCTATAATCAAAAGAAGCATTATAAGACAGAGGATTACCTGACCAAGAACAGATAGGATCAACGAATCTCCAATTGAAAACCACTCATCACTAATGCCAAACTGCCGGTTCAATCCGGTTACCAGTAGAACCTATCAAGACACCAGTTACACTTGAGTCAATCTAAAGCACCAGTAATTAGGGCCAACAGGGAAGACACAACATAGACCTGAAGCACAGAAGATATTTTGGGACAAGTACCTGAGTCATCCCAAGAGCTGAACCAATAATAGCCGTCACAAGGAATATTTTCCTTAAAGGAACTTTCTTTAAGAAACTGTTATACAGTGCAACACCAATCAGTGATGCAACTGAAGTAACCAGCTTAATGCGGCCTAAGAATTCTGGTGTGAAACCAAGTTTATTTGTTCTACAATCAACAAACTTCAGTTAAAAACTTGCATCTTGCATGTAATAGTTATTTGGAAAGCAAACATAAACCTGGATTTGAGCATACATGAAATAAAACATAGCAGAACCTGACTGTGGTGTTGCCTGAAATAGGAAAATAAATAGCGTGGGAAGAAGAACATTAGGCTGCTTAACAGCTCCCCATAACTGGAAAATGCTACTTTTTGAACTCTCAAAGAAGCCATTGCCTAAAGAAAGACCTCTTGCTGGGCCATGTACAGGCTCCTCTTTCACAAGTACAGATACTGCAGATGTTATCAACGGAAGTAATGCTGTTACACCAAAAACGGACCTGGAGTAACCAAAAGATAATTAACTATCAGACTCTTGACGTCGCTCAGACCAATACAGGCATACAATATCTCAAAAGACTGACTATCCTACCTCACACCATAAGAATCCACAAGGAAGCCACTGAAGTAAGAACTGACAATTCCCCCAAATGCTGAAGAACCCCAGCATAGTGACTGAAGAGATCCTGACATGCTTTGAGACTCACCACGTGCCCGCTCAACAACCATGGAGTCTACGACCTACATCATACCTCAATCTTATATTCTGCAGCAAGAGGAACACTTCAAGCAAAAGAAAGATAAGCTACATTCCATTTGCCAGCAAATATTTCATATAGGTATATGTAATAACTAAAACTCAAGCTCAAGAACTTCGTCCCCGGTATGTAAGAGTGAAAAGATATCAACACAAACATGGAATATTATGATAGAGGGGTCTGGCAATGAGTGGCGCAATAGCCTGTGATCCAGCTAACCCTTAAAATTGGTGATACAAAGATTATTTAGTTTATCCAGCTTACATCCTCGAAATTTGCACTGAAAATCCATGTGATGTATTATTCCATTTCAAACTGATAATAGCTCACTCTAAGCTATGCTGTAGTGCTATTATTTCCAGAATACAAGAAGCAGCAGCGTCATAGCCTTTTACTTCCTTATGGTTCTGAATTCTGATTTGGAAATTCATCATTCAACAACAAAGACTTACTATGTTTCTCAGGAGGAAAGAGTTCCTATTAATAGATGCCAACGACATTAGCAGTGAGAAAAATCACATGATTTAAAAAGATACAAGATTTGCTTGAGGTGTCAATAGTCCACAGAAATTCATAAAAGTAGAACAGGTAAGCTGGCAGGTTGGAAAAGTCATTTGTTATAAGTAGTTAGCTCTCTCTGACAAGGTTAACATTAAGGAAGCAACTTATAGGTTTAGGAAACCAAGATCAAGTCATTTGCCTAGGTCAGTCAGCAATATCCCAAAAACTAAAATGGACAATGCATGTAAGTATGATCATTCTCTTGATTATCTTTCATACTTCTTTAGAGTGTAAATAATAACAACCCATAGATAGTGAGAGATACAACAACTTATAGGCATCTACACTTCATTTAGATAGTTTGTGTATGTTCCTATTGTAACTTGGACCAAACACTGCCTAAACCTTGTTCAGCACACCATAGGAGTCTTTTTTCTAAAAAAATAAGGATCACCATAGGAATTGACATAGTCTATTTGTAGAATACTGATTAAAGAAGCAATTTCACATTCGTATACATCCTTTCTTAAGACATACACAATTTTAAAAAGCGAGTGCTTTAAATGAGGCGATGACACAATTCAATATGGTACAGGAGAGGTCCCGGTTTCCAGTCTCACCGCCAACTTTATCAAAAACTTTCACGTGCTTGGTCCATAGAAAAGAACATTGACTGCACGTGAAAGGACGGAGCGTTAAAGGCATACATAAGTCAATAAAATATACCCTCTCTAAAAGTTTAAATATTTGGATGAGGTGGTCGCACAATCCAATAATTGAGCTTTTGAACATTTATCAGAATATCTTTCTATTTCAACACAACTGTTTAATAGACATGCCTCAGATCGTCGTCTCTGTCCCTTTTTGCCAAAGATGCATCTGAGAGACTTCGTTCAAAATTTCAATAGGCAAAACATTTACTTTATCCAGGTCCAGCTTAGGCGTAATTAGCAAGAACTTGTGAATTTAATGAATTAGAATAATGCAGGACATTGACCCTAGGGCGCATAATTTTTATATAAGATGGTTTCTATTTTACAACCTCCTAACCCATATTGAAGGTCCAAAGCCCAAAAAGACTGCTGTCAATCTCTCGATCCAAGTCAAAAACAGTTAAGATAAACAATGCAGCGAACAGGGTTGCATCTCGTAACTTGGTAACAAACTCATCATGAGACTCAAATAACTGAAACCAACTAATAACAAAAAGGAACTTACAACATCTGAGAAAGCAACAGAAAGAGAACCAATAAGTATGCAGAAAGCAGCACCGTACTTGCTGTCAACAAAGGTGGCCATAAAAAACCATGAGAGTGCGCCAAGGAGTCCTGATAATACCAAGTACGATCTTCTTCGGTAACCAAAGAGTGGGAAGGAATCACTACAAGACCGAAATTCAAGTAATGAAGAATTAGTTGCTGGGAATAATTAGTAGATGAATAAGGATGAAATGCAAATTGAATCCAACCTGACGAATCCATATAAGGGCTTGATAAGCCATGGAAATGATGAGAAACCAGATATCACAGCTGTCTAGTTAGACACAAAAGTGTCAGTCCTTGTACTCAAATCAAAGGAAGAAGGTGCTAATGACAAATACATATGACACCTCATTAGACAGTTCCCGTTTAACATGCGCTCTATCAAATGAAGACAGAAATGCTTAAGCAAAGGTTCACAAATTGGCAATGCCTCATACTCAATATCTTTACGGAAAAAACTATGAATTAATTTCAAAAATCCATGTCTAATTTCATGGTTAGAGGCCCTAGATGAGGATGAGTAATATGCCAATAGGTTGACATTACATTGTTCAATCAGTTCTATTTAGTGTTCAACATGATAAGAAATAGATAAATGCTGTTAAATGACATAAGATAAGCATGGTATACGATGGGTGAAAGTTCTATAATAAAGAAGAGGAAGACGAGGATGATAGGATGTGGCTAAATTAACGTAAATAAGTTCATATATTTACATGACTATTAAAGATAAACAAAAGCAATGTTAACCAGACTACATCATGATGATATAATTGGCTGAAAGTAGACAGAAAAAGTACATAAACTAGTGTCATTTACACTGTATTAGTTGAAGTTAGAAAAATCTGAAATTCTGATGTAGTATGAAGTAGAAATTTAGAAAATTCTGTAAAATCTAATATGAGAACAACAACTATGCATCAGTCCCAAACAAGTTGAGCTGGCTATATGAATCCTAACTTACCATATTTCTCCAATTAAATTCATCTCAGGCCAACATAAAATATCCTTTGATTTTTGTTACACAAAGAGAGATACAGTGGGACAGGAGGAGAAGAAAGAACGGTACTTATGAGATGAACCAAGGAAAGTGGAGATTTCATTTCAATAAACTTGTATTTCGAAATAACATACTCAGAATGTACCCTAAATTCAAAGTCCATTGATCAATTCAAGCTATGTAATTAGTTTTCCAACTCGAATGTGCAATTTTGGATGAAATATGAAGATTTATCTGCTGAAAATTCTTTTATTATATTGTAGAAGCACAACCAACAATGTAACAAAGTATTCAAGGTGAGGATGACATACCTCTGCAGGGTCTAGATGCAGGTTGTCCTTCAAATAAAAGCTAACAGCGAGATCTGAAAGGCCTAAGATACCTTGAACAAAATATACCATGGCAATTGCAATGTTATCTGGGGTTAGGTCCACCCCAAAGCATCTGACTAAACTAATAGAATATTTGTTCCCATGAGGGCCAATTTTATTGGATGAACTAGAATCTTCCTCGACAGTGGTTGTCAGAAGATCCTCCTTTCCTGCACATTTATAGATAAGGAATTTGAATATGAGCTCCATAATACCACAAGTATTGGAACCAATGCCAGCTTTTAGGAACATGAATATTATTGAGATGTGTGACCATAGAGTACACTGTTAATTACTTAAATAGAACTACGTCTCAACACACCCCTTCAGATCCCTAGAACAAGTATCAATTAAATACACAGATCCTGAGTCTGCAGTTGGTTTTACAACCTACAAGAAATTCAGGTTGATAGAGCCATTTCAAGTTGTAGTTACGGTAATTTCATGATAAGGTGCATGTTACTGCTTAGCAATTAAACAGTAGCCAATACTAATTACTCCTACTAAACACTTTGAAAGAGTTAAAGATCGTTCTTCCAGTATCACTCTCTCCTCTACTTTGGAAAGATTTTCTCAATGGTCTCCTCAGCTTCATGCTTCAAAGCACAATGGAAAACTTCAAGATGTTTCCCTACCGGTAATGGACTTGATTGAATATCACATGAGCAAAAATGTTCTGCAAATCATTTTTAGCATCTAATTGTGTTGTCGTGATTAATGAATTGGTAGGACAAGCATGAGGTCTCCGATTCAAATCCTAGTGGAAGCCAAAAAATAAAAAAACACGAGGTGATTCCTGTAGTATGACAATATGGATTTACGTCGCAAACCATATTGATTTGGAACTCTATATTCACAAGCTGACAATTTCAGCTGCGATTATCAAACTTGAAATTGTAATAACGAATTAGCTAATAGGTTCCCACACTATTTAACTCAAGCCCTTTCCTTTCGTAGAAAATGAGCTAAGAAAATATAATAACTGTAGTAAATTAATCTCACATACAAAATTTGAAATAAAATTGCGTAATACAGACATATCCGTAATTATGTATGCGTAACTTACGATCTATAGAATCAAGCAACGGTTCGGCGTCGTTGTCTCGTTCGACGGTGGTTTCCGACATTTCGACTGCGACTGACATCTTAATGTCAGGTGGAGATGACGACAGAATGCCGTCTCCGGCGAATCCGAGCGAGGATCGGAGAGAGGAGGAGGAAGGTCAAATTTGGATTTATGGAGGGGAAGATTGAGATTAAGTCAAAAGTTAATGTAGCCATTTAAAAAATTAATGTTTCAATTAGTAGTTCGTACTGCCTCAGATTTTTTGTTAATAAGAAAATGGAATTTTAAAATGACTGGCTGATCCAGACCGAATCCAAATGCAGAAGTTGACCCTCCACTCATTGATTGCTATGAGCAGGAATAAAAAAAATTTAAGATCGGTGACTTGGAGAAAATTTGGGGGAAGATGATCACGTGTTTCATTAAAAATTGGAGCGATATAATGGATTATACATATTCTTACTCTTTTCGTCCACTTTAACTAATTTTTTTGCCTCTTTAATTTGTTTTAGTAACTTTGAAAAAACAATTAATGACGTGTTATCTTATAAAAATTAAAGTGGACCGCAGGAAGTAAATCATATGTATACAAACTTAAACTCAAAATCATTCAAACTTATGATTATCTTATAAAAAGTTACCCCACTAAATTAGTTTTTATCACTTAAAATCACTAACTTATGGTTTGTTAATCAGACAATAAATCCTCAAAAAATCTACTAAATCTAACCGAAAAGCAAGTAGAGTCATATATTTACACACTTTATGTTTATCTTAAATGTATCCATGTAAGGAGGATTAATATTTGGCTCTGCCTGATAACGAAAAAAACATCTTAGCCTTTAGCTGATTTCTTGGAACATACAAGTAAAGCTGTATATGATAGACTCTTTCGAACCCCGCGCATAGCATGACCTTATTGCACCGAAATGCCTTTTTAGTCATAGTTGAACATGCTAGCTCTCTCATCCCTATATCTCGGAGATTAGTACGTTCTAAAAATCACAGATCATAGCTCCATCTTGGTCAACTGCTTTTCTTGTAAATTCTATTTTTTACGCACATCTCTTGCCTTTCTCTCCAAGTATAGAATAGTCCAAAAAAGCACACCAAAATTGACCCTTTCACTCAAATTTTCATCATAAATTTCACCCATGCAATTTGCAAAGCCTCCATTCCAAAATTATCCACCAAACTGTGATACTTTTAGTTTTGATTGTTCTCACTTTTACATTAGAGTTCCTGGAGAAGAGCAATAAGAAAATGGATGAAACAACTAGCAAATCAGAAGGAAAAGAAAGCGAATATGAATTCACTGAACTGATCACTCTCAGGAAAATTGAACTGTCAGATGTGGATGATTTCATGGAGTGGGCAACAGATGAAAAAGTCAGCCATTTTTGCATCTGGGATACTTACACTTCCAAAGATCAAGTTTTGGATTATATCAAGAATAGTGCTATTCCCCATCCATGGTTGAAAGTTATCTGCATAAGAAACAAGGCAATTGGGGCAATATCTATGACACCAAATTCTGGTTTTGATAGTTGTAGAGCTGAACTTGGATATGTCTTGGCTTACAAGTATTGGGGTAAAGGGATTGTCACAAGAGCAGTGAAAATGGTGGCAACTACCATATTTTCAGAGTGGTCAAATCTGGAGAGGATTGAGGCGTTGGTGGATATAGACAATAAAGGATTACAAAGAGTGCTGGAAAAAGTTGGGTTCTTGTGAGAAGGTGTTCTAAGAAAGTTCATGAGTATAAAGGGGAATTCAAGAGACATAGTAATATTTAGCTTGCTATCCACAGATGATGTTCAACACTAGTCCCCTCAAGTTTTTTCATGTATTCTCCTTTTCCTCTTGGAGATCAAAAGGAGGAGCCAAAGGATTAAGGATTTTATTGCAATCTGATACTAGTAGGTTTAGCTTCTTTTCCAACTTCAAAGCAAGTCTTGTGGAAATATTTTAACTGTCATTTATTGTTTGATTGCAATTCGGACAGTAATCGTATTGAATCATTGCCTGAATTAGTATTGTATGAACTATTGAAAGACTTTATGAACACCAAGCATAGAGATCCAAATCATTGTGTGATGGGTTTAAAGTATCTTAGATTTATGTTTTGATGATCTAACAAACTTATTGTCAAGAACCAGATAAAGGACCTGATGCACACTTGGTATATTTATCCATCAATGGACTTAAGCTAATGTGAGTTGTATGACTTCAGATAGAAAAGAACCAACTCATGGACCTGATCCCTTGGAGCTTCCCTGACAGCAGTACGAAGTCAACTCTATAGCTAGAAAGTGACTGCTTGCACTGTACATGCTGCAGTGCAGAAACAGTGCAGCAGTCACTTCCCATTGGGAAGGGCTTTTTACCAACCAAGTGTTTACATCATCTAAGTGATGTCATTCAAAGGATATTAACAAGAAGCATTACAACAAAACATCACTTGAACACTTGTGATATTCAAACAAAAGTATTCAAGATCTGATTATCCAGCATTAAAGTCACAAGTGCATCAAGAACAAAGTGCAACACTACTACGGACCAGTTCCATAACAAGTCTTTTGTATGTCCTTAGTTGAGTTGTATCTTTGTATTGGTTATTTATTGTAATTCCTACTTTGCTTATCTAGAAGCTTAAATTAGGAACCTCAAAAATCACAAACCCGTATAGCTTGTGTCGTGACTAGAGTTAGTCATGAGTTGAAGTATTTGTAATAGGTGTATTACAAAGTGGCTTGTAATAGGTGTATTGCAAGTTAGTGAGGGATTAAGAATTTAATTTCTAGGTTGCAATAGGTTATAATCTAAAGATTGCTCAGTAGTAAAGTTGACTACCAGTGTAGGTCGTGGTTTTTTTATCCCCTTGAGCAGGGATTTTTCCACGTAAAAATCTCTCATGTCATTTACTTACTGTTAGATTAGCTAGTTCTGTGGGAACTATTATAGGACCAGGTCTCTATACAGTTTGGTGGACTTATACATTCTATCAATTGGTATCAGAGCGGGTTCTTTTTAAAAGGTTAACACCTAGAGAGGATCCTCACCATGGCTGCTCCACCAAACTTCGAGGAAGGACAATCAACTTACAGGCCCCCAAGATTCAACGGCCAATACTATGGGTGGTGGAAGACTCGAATGCATGACTTCATAATGGCAGAAGACTTCGAGTTATGGGATGTTATTTGTGATGGTCCATATGCCCCAACAAAGAAGGTAGGAGAACCTGCTGTAATGGTGCTGAAAACCAGGAAGGAGTACAATGACGCTGACAAGAAAGCTGTAGAGAAGAACTTTCGCGCCAAAAAGATTTTGGTGTGTGGTATAGGACTTGATGAATATAACAGGATTTCAGCTTGTCAGTCTGCCAAGGAGATATGGGAAGCTTTACAAACGGCACATGAAGGAACTACTCAAGTAAAGCAGTCCAAGATCGATATGCTCACCACTGAGTATGAGCTCTTTAGAATGAAGGATGATGAATCCATTTAAGACATGCATACTCGATTCACTTCCATTATAAATGAGCTACACTCTCTTGGAGAAATAATTCCTAGGAACAAGCTCGTGAGGAAAGTTCTTAGCGTTTTACCCAGCTTCTGGGAAAGCAAGATGAATGCTATCACTGAAGCCAAGGATCTGCAGACATTGATTACAGACGAGCTAGTTGGGAATCTAAAAACCTACGAGATGAAGAGAAAGAAGGACAGTGAAAGAAGAGAACCAAAGAAGGAGAAGAACCTGGTACTCAAAGCTGAAAATAATGGTTCGAGTGAGGAGGATAGTGACATGGCATACCTTACCAGAGGGTTTCAGAAAATGGTTCGAAGAAATGGAGGTATACCAAAGAAAGGCAGTTCCAGCAAACCAAAGAATTATGACCTCTGTCATAAGTGTGGAAAGTTAGGGCATTTCATCAAGGACTGTCCTCTTCTGAAGCAAGAGCATTTCAAGCACAACTTCTGATAAAGTAGCCAAGAGGAACCCGGTTCCTGACAAATGCTTCAAAAGAAAAAACGTAGCTGACAATGTTGTGAAGCAAGCTCTTACAGCATGGGGAGACTCCTCCGGTGAATTAGAAGAAGAAAATGATGCAGGTGATAGTTCCATGATGGCAATTGAAAATGAAGCAAATGAATATGACCCAATATTTGCTTTGATGGCTCAGTCAGACGATGATGAAGATGATGACAATGATGAGGTAAACTTTAGGGATGTTCAGAGGAATCTGAAATCCTACTCTCCCAAGAAACTCATGTCATTAGCTAATATTTTGATTGATGCATATCATAGTCTTGTGAGTGATAAGGATGTCTTGACACAAAGAACTTTAGTAAAGAAAAGAATTCTTTAGTGGAGAAAACTGCCATTACTGAGCAAGAAAGAGATGATCTCTTAGAGGTAATCGTAGACCTAGAGGAAACAATTGAGGGACTTAAAGCAGAATGTAGGGCTGAAAATTCTGAAAAGGGGAAGGAAGTAGCTAGTGAGGCACATATTAAACTTAAAAATGAGCTGAATAATGTGAAAACTAGTTTGTGTGTTGAGCTTGAGAAAAATAGGCAGCTTCAAGCAGAATTGAAGAAAGTAAAAAATAATCTTGAGAAATCTCTTAAGTGGACCTGGTCCTCAGATGCTATTACTGCCATGTACTTTAATAATGGTGTAAACAGGAAGGAATAGGGTTCCAAAGGGAGAAAGTTCCCTATAATCCTCATAGCAAGTACGTCACTGTACCTGATAACTGGCTTTGTACCCACTGTGGGAACAATGGGCATTTCAAGGAAAATTGCCAAGCCAGAGTCCAGTCTGTTCAGAAAAATAAAGTTTTTACTGAAAAAGTAACTATTGGAATAGGACCAGGTGCCACTCACAAAAAATGCATGTTGCCTGCATGGACTAGAAGAGCTCTCGTTCATCTCTTATCTCATTACAAGGGACCCAAACTTGTTTGGGTTCCTAAATCTAACCCTTGATTTATCTGTGCAGGGAACAGTGAAAGGAAGAAGTCAACAATGGATTATGGACAGTGGATGCTCTAAGCATATGATTGGGAATACCATGGACTTCCTTTCACTAAAAGGCCTGCAATGAGGGAATGTATCCTTTGGAAATGGGAAAAAAGGGTATATTCTTGGTGTTGGAAAAGTTGGAAAGCCTCTCTCACACTCAATTGAGAACGTGTACTATGTAAATAGTCTGAAGTATAGTCTCTTGAGTGTTTCTCAAATCTGTGATAAAGGAAACAAGGTGGAGTTTTTGTCAAATGTGTGCACAGTTACTAATCTGGTAACTGGTGAAGTGGTACTAGTGGCCAAAAGATACAAGAACATCTACGTTGCTGATTTTGAGTTCCTACAAAGTGGTGATATGAGCAGTTGATGATGATGCAGAGTTATGGCACAGAAGGCTGGGACATGCAAGCTTCTCTCTTCTGAACAAGCTGATACAGAAGGACCTGGTTCGTGGATTGCCAAATTCAAAATTCAAGGAGCACGGAGTGTGTGATGCATGTGCTATAGGAAAGCATGTGAAATCCTCATTCAAGCCAAAGAAGGATGTCAGCACATCAAAGCCACTTGAACTCTTTCATATGGATCTATGTGGCCCTATGAGAGTGCCAAGCAAAGGAGGAAAAAGATATATTTTTGTGATAGTAGATGACTACTCAAGATTCACTTGGACATTGTTTCCCATAACCAAGGATGAAACCTTCGAAGTGTTTGCAGCCTTTGTCAAGAAAATCCAAGTGAAGATGGAATCAAAAGTGGCTTGCATCAGATCCGATCACGGAACAGAATTTGACAATGCCAAGTTTGATGAATTATGCAGTGAAAATGGCATCACCCACAACTTCTCAGCTCCAAGAACTCTACAGCAAAATGGAGTTGTAGAAAGGAAGAACGGAACCCTTGAAGATATGGCTAGAACAATGCTTATTGATAGTGGGATAGCAAAAAAAACTTCTGGGCAGAAGCCATAAATACAGTCTGCTACTTGGTGAACAGGTGCATGATCAGATCCTTCCTGAACAAAACTCCCTATGAACTGCTCAATTGAAGGAAGCCAAAGCTGACTCACCTAAGAACGTTTGGGTGCAAATGCTATGTTCTCAACAATGGAAAGGATCGGCTTGGAAAATTTGACGCCAAAAGTGATGAAGGATTTTTTTCTGGGGTATTCCTCTCAAAGCAAAGCTTACAAGGTTTACAATAAAAGGACTCAGTGTGTGGAAGAAAGTGTTCATGTATTCTTCAATGAGACATTTCCATCTGGTGAGAAGAGCAACAAGGATGATCAAGACAGTGAGCCACTGTTGGTTCCAGGAGAGATCACCGAGATGGCAAATGGAAAGGCAGATATGATGAGTCAAATGAAGGAGACAAATGAAGACAATGCAACCTCTTCCTCTCCAACTCAAGAGGAACCAGATACACACATCACAACCACTGAAGTTGAAGAAAGAGTAGCTGATGCAGTTCAAAGTACCCCACAGACAGCAGAAAGAGGAATTCAAGGGAACCATTCAGGATTACCTAGTTCCTCCACTAATGAGATTCAAGTTCCAAATTGGAAACACAAAAGCTCCCATCCTCTCGACAATATAATAACCCCCCTTGATTCTGGAGTCCAAACTGGATCAAAAGCCAGAAATTCACTTGCCTTCTCTTCCTCTCCTAAATAGAACCCAAAAATATTAAGGAAGCCTTAAAGGATGTAGACTGGATCACAGCTATGCAGGAGAAGCTGCATCAATTTGAAAAGAATAAAGTATGGCACCTGGTACCTAGACCCTCAGATAGAACCATCATAGGAACCAGGTGGGTATTCGGGAACAAGCTTGATGAGCATGGAAACACTACAAGGAACAAAGCAAGGCTAGTTGTCCAAGGTTACAATCAGGAGGAAGGGATTGATTATGATGAGACTTTCGCTCCAGTTGCTCGTATGGAAGCCATCAGAATTCTCATCGCCTTTGCATCACATATGGAATTCACCTTGTTCCAAATGGATGTCAAAAGTGCATTTCTGAATGGTTTTCTAAAGGAAAAAGTCTATGTTAAGCAACCTCCAGGTTTTGAATGTCATAAACATCCTGAATATATGTTCAAATTGGACAAGGCACTGTATGGTTTAAAGCAGGCTGCTCGAGCTTGGTATGAAAGGTTGTCAAAGTTTCTCTTAGAAAATGGCTTTACAAGAGGAAAAATTGACAACACTCTGTTTCTGAAGAAACGAGGAAGGAACATGCTCATTGTTCAGGTATATGTTGATGATATTATCTTCGGGGCAACAGCTGACTCACTTTGTGAGGAATTTGCAAAACTCATGGAAAGTGAGTTTGAGATGAGCATGATGGGGGAGCTGTACTTTTTCTTGGGTCTTCAAGTGAAGCAGTCCATGAAGGGAACTTGTATTAGTCAGTAGAAATATATCAAGGAGATTTTGAAGAGGTTTGATATGGAAGCATCAAAGGTAATTGACACCCCCATTGCCATTGCCGCTAAGCTAGACATGGATGAATCTGGCTCTCCTGTAAATTAAATAATGTATCGAGGCATTATTGGATCACTCCTCTACCTCACTGCCAGCAGGCCAGATATTGTATTCAGTATAGGTTTATGTGCAAGGTTTCAATCAAATCCCAAGGAATCTCATCTAAAAGCTGCTAAAAGGATTCTGAGATATCTTAAGGGAACACATGACCTGGTTCTGTATTACCCTTCAGGTGACAACTTTAATCTTGTTGGT